AGCAGTCAAGTGCCTTAGGCACTATGCTACCAGAGCTCCTTGATAGCAGAGCCTATAGTGATTAAAGGCACAAGCCGGACCCTAAAGTAGGGAGTAAATTCTCAAACCAGCTTCATCCACTTCCCTAGTCTCAAACCTTTGGTTCAGTCCATTCAATAACTTTATGGGTGGTACCCACCCTAAATTAATTTCCCCAGAAATATTTATCCAAAAAACAAACGTGTTTTTTATAATGGTATATAGTGTACCATACTTAGCAAGAAGAAAATCCAAAGCTATATAGTTATTTAAAACTACTTCAGCTAAGGAATTCAGAGAGGCCTGTTGGGCTTGAATGGCCTTTCTCCATGCCCATGGACAGGAGGTGGATGGTGTCTGACAAGTTTTGGATAGTTCTATATGCCTAATCCCTAAACCAGGAATGATAATTCTTAAACAGTACTATTAAAATCTGGTTTTTGTTTAAGACCAGATTAGTTTCTGTTCCTGATATGCTTAATGATACAGAGTTTACAAAAAAGGGGTCTCATTTCTGCCTGACTGGCCTTCTGGAAAAATGTGGGAAATAGAGTATATCTGAGTAGGAAAGATGTGGAAACTTAAAGTACATTTTCTACAAAGTGGATCCTTGTAATGCATATTAAAGAGGAAATTATTCCCCCCTAAACAAAATAATGTCTACTTACAAATTCTAATTAAGCTATAAAGCATAAAATGGCAAAAATAAATAAAATGAAATAAGTTCAACTTCAGTCTAAAATAATGTCCACTTATCTGGTGGCAGGGTTTATCTTGTAAAGTCACTTACGTCCTTCCAGTGGAATTGTCTCCCATTCTGAAGCACTGATAAGATGGGCTCTGTTGAGTGATCTCTGGTGTAGGAGTAGTTTTAAACGTGGGGTGTATTCACGCTCCTTTGCTGTTCACTTTCACCACAGTAGGCATGGACAACAAGACTTCATAGGATACTTTTCACTTTTCTGTGAGGTTCTCAAGCTTCTAGCTTATCACATACTTTCAGCTCAGCTTGTGTAGACGGACCTTAGGAAGTGAGCTGTAGAGCTGAAAAAGAGCATTAGCTTCCTGTATGGTTTGTAAAGTTTGCCCTATTATCTACAAATGTCTTATAAACAGGTTACTTTTTTTTTTTTTTTTTTTCTTTTTTCCATGAATGTCCCCAGCCCCTAGACTTATATCAGCACTGGTATATTTTTTAAAAACATTTTATATATATTTACACATTTGGTCTTCATAATAATCTTATATGGTGTTATCCTCATTTCATAAATGAGGAAACTGATTCACAGAGATTTAGTGACTTTCCCAAAGTCACAAAACTAGTAAGTGACCAAGTCAGGATTTTTTTTTTAACATTGATACTATTTCAATCAGTGGCATTTAGGTTTCATACCAGGGGTGTCTATACACCATCTCAAAGGGACTTACCTTCAGTTTTGTTTTGAGGGCAACTCTGATTCTGAACAGGGCCAATTTAATTTCTAGGCATAGTTTAGCTATGTGAGTTCCTAAAGTTCGATTCATCTTTTCTACTTTACTACTTAGATTGGGATCTCCAAGCAGCATAAAACTTTTACATAGTACCCAAATGTTGAGTTATTATGCCAGTAAAATGGTCTCCCAATCATCTGAGGGATTTCAAACCCAGGAATAATCTCTCCCAATAGTCTTTTAGCCACTTTCGTGGGTTTCTCAATCCTACAAGGGAAGCCCTTTTGAATCTGTGTATACCATCCCTTCTGACTCTGCACCATCCTCAATGTTTGGATCAGGGTGATTAGCTCAACTCTGCGCTGATGTCCCTGTGGGGGAGCATCTATATTTCCAAGACCTTGGTAAGGCTGACAATTGTGTAGCCTACTTTCCGTTTCCATTCTCCATGAAGCTATTCTGCTTTATGAAACAAGTGAGCTCTGATTTGCACAGTGGCTGGTCAAAGAGATCTGACCTGCTGGCATATACCAAGTTGAAGGTCCTGACACAATTATGATGAGATTTGCTTGGGGTAAAGGGGGCAACAGGGTAGCCAGGTTTATGATAGTTCCTGGCTGGATCTGCACAGTTGGGTTGTTTCCTAAGGAGGCCTGATACTGAATAATTTGTGCTTG